TCGCGAACCCACTATGTTGATTTTGTCGTGACGCGGCTCATATAGCTTTTGTACGTTAATAAGCTCGTGACAAAGGCTCGTTATGAAAAATGTATAGCTGTAATAGTATAGCGTCAATAATTTTGAAATATAATCATACTTTAAATGTTTAAACATTATGCCTATATATTACTCAGATGTTTACAGAGTCAATGAAATTAATAAAGTTTAATTAAAAAAAGTTAAGAATAAATTTTATTGGACAAGTATTGTTCTGTATATTAAAGTACTGTTGAAGCTAGTTTATGTAGTCTATTTAAGTGTCCGTTGTATTGTTAAATAATAGGTTAAATATTGTTTAATAACAGTTTTGTACTTTAAAATGAATAATATAGATCTTATCGAGATTAAAAGATCGTAAACAAAAATAAAGACAATTGGTATATAATGTATTTTAAGGTATTGTAAAGACGAAGGTATTGTAAAGACGAAGGTATTGTAAAGACGAAGGTATTGTAAAGACGAAACTACATACTGTCGATCCAAGATTTGCTCCTTATCTCTTGTCATCTATAATGTGAACGTATTCAAATTTAAATCTATTGATGATTTTAAATCGATGCAATATAACGAAAAATATAAAGACTACTTACCGAAATAAACAACTGTTAAACTGTTAATATATATCCTATAATACATAGTGAACTTGTCATATATTCGTCGCAATTAAATATAAAAAAATGGAATAAGATTACTTCCTTGGTTTAGCCAAATATGACAGCTAAATGTTTATTCGATTTAATCGAAATGATCTTTTTCATTAAACTTCACGGTTTATGCGTTCGTACTATTCTTTAGCCTGTTACATTGCACGACGAAAAACATTTTACAAGTTATACAAATGTATCTCGATGCACACTGCCATATTAAATGACCAAACAGTTACGGCTGTTTTAGCGATAAATTTTCGGAAAGGATTTCGAAATACTGACGCGGATTTATTTTAACAGCAATAAAAGTGATGTGCTTATTAAATATGCCGGACTTAAAATCGAGGGCTTATAAAACAATAAATAGAGGATATTCAAGTTTTTTCTATAAATACATGATTTATTTTCATCGAGTGGTATGAAAATAAATATTTCATGAGTGGCGGTAGCCACGAGTGAAATATGGTAATTTTCATGCCACAAGATGAAAATAAATCATGTATTTATAGAAAAAACTTGAATTTTCTGTTTATTATATACATTTTTCTCTTTTTTTGCGATAAAATTTGAAAGACTTTCCCTTAAATTTTGTGTACTGGCAGAATTTAAAAGAAAGTAGTCCGACAAGACACCAGTGAAAATACGGAAAATATGTTTCACTGCAGTGAAAAATAAATTTTTACAGTGAAAATACGGAAAATGAAAATACGCATTTTATTTCATCAATATTTCTCAATATTTCATTCATAAGTATATAATAAATTATCATTATTTAATTTTACCCATGAAATATGGTGCTATATCAGTCAAATATATTTCATATTTTTTAAAATTAAATATGAAATATAAATATGAAAGTGGGCGGAGTCAAAACTCATATTTATTTAAGGGACTTCTTTCGCCATTTTGTTCGAAAAAATCTGATAATTACAAAACAACTTTTTGTTGAATTTCGTTTTGAAAACTATCTAGAATGATAGAAAATGGTCTAACTAAGAAATTCGAACACCAGTATCATTAATTCACTCTTTTACGCTGTACAGACGTTTAAAGAGTTGTTTACGTGACGTCACAATGTAGCGCTAAATATCGCGTGCAAAACAAGACAATAATTATATTACTGCGCGCTGTACAATTCCGGTTATGTAGCAAGCAATGGTGTTCGTAACCATTTTTCTTTGATAATGAAATTAAATAAAAAGGTTGTTTTTCGTTTTTCGTGAAATATGGTATATATTTTCACTCAACATGATAAAATGCCACACATTTTCACTCGCCGTCCCGGCTCGTGAAAATATGTGGCATTTTATCATGCTTCGTGAAAATATATTCCATATTTCACTCAAACGAAAAAATATCCTCTTAATATCTTTAAACTTGTTACCCATTTTACTCAACATGATAAAATGCCACACATTTTCACTCGCCGTCCCGGCTCGTGAAAATATGTGGCATTTTATCATGCTTCGTGAAAATATATTCCATATTTCACTCAAACGAAAAAATAGCCTCTTAATATCTTTAAACTTGTTACCCAGATTTATATCCCATATCAATTCAACAACAGCAAAACCTACTACTACAACAACAACTTCAATAGTTATAACTACATTCAAAGCTCATTGAGCACTAAAAGTTTTGCAAGTGCTGTTGGGGAGGCGGGGGATGGAAGGGAGCCGTAAACGGAGGCTTGTTCACCCCCTACCGTCTATGGAAAGCTGAAATTGTACTCAGTGTGATTCACTGAGTATAGAGCTTATTTTAGACAATCTATATTTTTATTTGACTAAAACAATATCGATGTGTTTTGT